CCTTGAAAGCTCTCTTTTTGCAGGGAATGTTACGAAAATTGCTCAACCTCAATACTTGCCTGAAACTTTGCAACGCTGTAACGGCATTTGTTATCATCCGATCTTAATCATCTTGGACTCTTTTTAATGGAAATTTTATGTACTTTAATTTAGAAAATAACTACTTTTGCCGTAATTTCAATAATATACGAGTTATTTCGGTTTTTCGGCCGAAAAACGCAAATTTCGGCCATTTTTTCAAGATGGCGGCTTTGGCTCGCCTCAGATTTGTTCGCAAATGTGAAATTCGGATTCAGCGATGGACAATACATAGGAATAGTACATCAGAAAGTTTCCTCAGAAATTGTCTCTACTTAGCCCCTATTTGTGCTCTATTGACTGGACTACATCGAATACGGTCTGGAAAGCTCCAATTCCCCTGTGCTCCCATTTCCCGGAACTAGTACGGAATTTCGGAACTTCTATGATTTTTTTGAATTCTTTCCGGAACTTTTGAAGTACCTAAAATGTTCGGATTTTTTGCATCTTCCGGAACCTTTGAAATACCCGNCAACTCGCGGTTTTCATTGTGATAGCAGTTGTTGACTCCAGGCAGAGTTCTCTAGACTTTCTCCTTTTCATACAGTTATTCCATCACTTTTTATATTATTATTCAATCAATATCTCTCTCTCTCTCTCATATGATTCATATGATTTTTAACTGAGCGAGTACTTTCTTGTCTAAAAAAGGAGGAAAAAACCCATGAAAAACCGAATTCAAATTTATAGGTATCTAGAAGGCAAGCTTAATCACACCAGAATTGCTTGAAATTTCAAAAATCATGCTGAGAAGATAAGGAACTTGAATTTTAATTTTGGTTAAAATCACTCGGCAGAGACTGTTCGATTTTTGAGGGGGTTGAAAAAAAAGGCGCATAAGTGCAGTTTTTGAAAAAGATTGAGGTATTAATGGTTTCAAGTAAAACTAGTTTTGATGCATATTCTGAAAAAAATTCGCTCCCAAATTCCAATTTTCAAGCATCTAAAAGTCAGTTTGAACTCTCTTTCCGCCATAAGGATCCATGTAATTTCGAAACTTCAAACACGTATTTCTTGAAATAGCATATAAACTGCACTAATGCGCCTTGTCCTCCATGCCCCTCATTAGGTACATTATAACGCATTTTAGGAAATGAACAATTATTTTTCACCGTGGCTTCCTATTTGTAGGTGCAATTGTTTTTGGTCGGAAAGTGGTTTTTTCTCGTAAACTTACGTGTAAGGTTTTATCTTAAATAAATAATTTACTCTGCGATTCGGAACATTTCACGTCCTTCATTGAATATGGACCTTGAAAGTTAAAATATCATCATTCATTTATGAGAGTATTTTTTAGGAGCCCGAGACAGTGCCGATCGGCGCGTGAATGATCGATTATCAATATTTCCCCATTTCAAGCTGTAGTAAAGAATCAATTATTAAGGTGTTCGTTACAAACATCCTGATTGTCGATTCTTTTCGATAGGTTTAAATGACAGATCAATCTATATATATCGCAAAGCACGACACCCCACTGACTCCAGAGGCGTAAGAAGGGGGGCCAGGGGGGCCTGCCCCCCAGAATTGGAAATAGTATCATCTGCCCCCCCCCCAGAAATTCTGGATGGTGCAAAAACACCTTCTTCAACGGTAAGTCTCTGTCGCCGTAGCCCGTGAGAGGATGCCTATAAATGGAATAACCTGTTGAATGCAACGATTTCAAAGTATTTTAACCTTAAAATGCATAAAACTGGATGATTTTTAGGCAGAAATTGAAGGAAGATTAGCGCCACAAGTGCCTCGAAATGCGCTCAAATAGAGTTAAAATTTCACAGATTTTCCAGGGGAGGCCCCTCGGACCCCCCGATGAGCTGAGGGGTATTCCGTACCCCCCCCAGACCCCCCGATGATGGGGGGCCAGGCCCCTTTAGCAAAATGACCTAGCTACGACTATGACTGACTCGAGGGGACGTCATTTGGTTTCATCAAAAACTTTGTGGAACAAAATGCGTTTAAATGAATCGCCGAGGAAACTCAGAAACACGCATTTTAGTTTTGCTGTTTTAAAATATATACCTCTACATTAGTTTTCAAAGTGAAGCAAACCAATGTCACGGCTATAAATTTTTACCGTGTATATTCATCACGAGGCGAAGAAAATCGGAAACAAATATTGAGAGGGAAAATACAATTTTAGTCTTCATTTTAAACTAATATACCTGGAAAGCTGCAATGGCACAATCTGAGAAACTTTCTCTGCGCTCACCAACGTAATACGGTAATGGCAGCAATTGTAAAAGAAACCGGTGTATTAATAATAATTGTAGCAGTAATAGTAGCAGTAGGAAAGTAGCAAGTAGTAGTAGTAGTGGCTGTAGCAGCGGTAGTGAAAGTGGTGGTGATAGTAATGGTAGTAATAGTAGTGGTAGTAGTTGGGGTTGTGGTAATGGTATTGGAGATAGTCGTAGTAATAATAAAACAATAATTAAAAAAATATAATATAAAAACTTTAAGAGAATGCCACTGAAACTTTCGAAATCTGCGGAAGAAATTTCTAACCTTATCGATTTCTCCAAAATAATTTGCACACTGAATTTCAACCCAAAAATCAGAATGTACTCTGATTTTGGCGAGGCTACAGTGATGAGATTGCCTCAATTTTCTTTAATTGAAAGTGTAATAAAGTAATTTTGGATTCTAAGGACTTAAAAACTCACCTCTGAAAGTAAAAACGAATAGAACTAACACAATTACACTTGCGATCCTCACGACGGACATTCTCGCATAAAATGTTTGTTGGGAGTCAGTGAGTCAGAGTTTCAACACAGCAAAATTTTCGACTCAAACGCAACTATGACGAATGCACACTGGGAGAAAAAATTAATCACACGCCTATTCACAAACATGCGTGTAAAATCCTCGCAGTAACCTTTGCAGATGAAAACGCCGCTGAGACTTTAATATCCGGCTGAAGCTTACTGTGTCCATTTTAGTTTAGGTATGCATGATGCCTCAATTTTCCCCATTCTTTTAACGCGCTAGTTATTTCTATTTGGTCGGAATACAAAGCCTTTTACTTTCTTCCATTTCTTTCTTCTTTGTCTTTCTCTATTTATCAATGCATTTTCAAAATCTTCACTGTTCATAGTCAAAAAGCCTTTGTATTCTTTTACGCACTCAATGCCAGTTTGAATGCAAATCATGAACCATTGTTAATCGATTCTTCCTCCATTTAAATCCTGTTGAATCTCATGTTACTCGCAAGCTGATCACTGATCAGTAACATTATTACCACATTTACACACAATTTTCATACAACTACATTTCTGTTTACACATTTTTATGATGCGTTTTATGAACATGCGCCCTCGCGAATTGTCACCTACCACAAGCTTTTTCTGACATCGTGCATCTTTCTTGAAGTTACATTCCTAATCTATCATTATCTAAAATCTTCATAGAAGCTATCACTAAAACCGTAATCTGAAAATGTTCTTCTAGTGCACTTAAACCACGAATTTTGAAAGAGCAGGTAGATTTTACTATATTTTTGATGTTATGCATAACATTCACACAAAAAATTCCAGGCCTGCGCCCGCGAGTGAAATTAGCGGTTACAATTATCAGTTTTAGTTGTCACAACTATTACTAATAGCTGTAATCACTGCTACTACTAGTGGTAGCAGTTGCCATTAATTATTTACCGTTAATAAATGTTCCAGAAACCAATATTAACGGTGTTCAATATGAGCCGTTATTAACGGTAGTGACGACCCATAAATTGTTTTAATTACCACGAATTTTTCTCAGTGTGTCTGGGGTTGATTTTAAAGAGGTGTCACCCTCTTACCCAGAGGTGTTTGAGGTCTCACCCTATCCCGCCGGTAGGTGAGGGGATTCCGTCAGAGATGCATTAAGTAATTGGGAAAATATGCGGCGTTTACAACATTTTTAATGTACAAATGATCCTAAAGAGCAAAAACGGCCAAATCCCCCGTAGCTCCGATTGCTTCCTAGTTGTTCCTAGATTTAGATTGCTTTTAGTATGCTATTTTACCATAACAAAGGGCCCCGTTTCTGATAATTTCAAGTCCAAAAAACTAGATAACAGTGAGGAACTACGGAGGCCCAGAAGGCGCAAACCCTTTGAGCTGGCAACCGTAGTACCCGATTAACCACCATATATCATCGTAAAATCCCTTGATTGAGGGTGGCTTTAAACTATAGTGATATGTTTGGTATTATTCTTAGTATGTCTTAATTTCTTTTTCTTTTTCCTGTACAAAGTATACAGGGTGATCCAAAAGTCCCTTCCACCCCCTCTAACTTTTTACCTAATTGAGGTAAAGATTTGAAACTTGGGGGATATTCCTAGGTCAAAGGGAGCTACTTTTTGGCCCCCCTAAAATTTTCAGGGAGGCCTCCCTTGGGGGGGGGGCAACGGCCCCCAACTTTTAATTTTCAAATCGGAAGACCCCCTTTGTGATAGCTCGTTCGAAAGAGCATAAAAAAAGAAAACTTTTCGCGCAAACCCGAAGTCAATATCTCGAACCGTTTCAAAATGGCGGCCGGTTAAAGTTCAAAATGGCCGAAAATTCACACCGGTTATTTGTCGATGGATTTGCGCGAAAATCGGTATGAAGGGGTATTTTGACACGAGAAAAACGAATTTGACGTTAGATTTTCAAAAAAACCGAAATTTCCAAAATGGCCGCCGGTTACAGTTTAAAATGACAAAAAATTGATTTTTTTAGAAATCTAAGTTCAAATTTGCTTATCTAATGCCAAAATACTCTCAAATTCCAAGTTTTAGGCAAATCCATCAGCATAAAACCGAGGTGACAATTTTCGGCCATTTTAAACTTTAACCGGCGACCACTTTGGAAATTTTGGTTTTTTTGAAAATCTAACGTCAAATTCGTTTTTCTCGTGTCAAAATACCCCTACATACCGATTTTCGCGCAAATCCATCGACAAATAACCGGTGTGAATTTTCGGCCATTTTGAACTTTAACCGGCCGCCATTTTGAAACGGTTTGAGATATTGACTTCGGGTTTGCGCGAAAAGTTTTTTTTTTATGCTCTTTCGAACGAGCTATCACAAAGGGGGTCTTCCGATTTGAAAATTAAAAGTTGGGGGCCGTTGCCCCCCCCCCCAAGGGGGGCCTCCCTGAAAATTTTAGGGGGGCCAAAAAGTAGCTCTCTTTGACCTAGGAATATCCCCCAAGTTTCAAATCTTTACCTCAATTAGGTAAAAAGTTAGAGGGGGTGGAAGGGACTTTTGGATCACCCTGTATAGTATCAAAATTCCACTGTTAAATGTTAGGTTTATACTCATCACTGTGTGGTTAGTATAATGCTGTTCCGGTTGTTCGGGGTCGGACACCGCAGATACCGGGAACTATACCGTTCTCTATGGGCTCTGCGATGCTCGTCCCAGGGCATCCAAGTTAGGAAAGAGTCTGCATAATTGTATATATTTTCAGTCGATAACCGTTATTTATTTTTAAGTTACATCTAAATATCTTATTTCTGTACAGAAGTTGATATGTTTAATAAATAAAAAAAAAAGTCCAAAAAAAATTTTCCCGCGCTTTGGCGGCGTTGCCAAGTTGCAACCTTAAAAATTCGATAACTTTTGAACCAATTGAGTTATTGATCTGCAGTTTGCGCTAAAATTCTTTAAAAATTATGAACTTTTGTTTTATGTATGGTTTTTGGATAGAAAGTAACATTAAACTTATGATTCACCTCTTTTTTTGGATTTTTGATTCGTCGAATTTTACGTGTTCGTAAAGATCCAAAAAAGCCATTTTTTGATTTTAAAAAAAATATGTCCAATCGATTTCTCGTCTGATTCCGCATCTATCGTTATGTCATACTTGGCGGGGAAACGATTGGTATAGAAGTTATGACCATTTTTATACGCGGGTTTCGACGCGCCGTACCCATTACGCACCGTTACAGCCGTCCTGGGCTCCTCGCCGCGTGGCCTATAGCGACTGGTTCATCGACTTAACTCAACTTTTTAGTTTTAACTGACTTACTCAAGAGATAATTTGTAATAATAAAGTTTTTGTGCCTAGTGATTTGTTGTTCTAACCCATAGTTAATAGCCAGTTCTAAGTGTCAGAGACCATCCAGGCAAACGAATAATGTAGAATAAGTAGAAAATGACTGAGATAAATGACTGTTCGAAGCTGTGACGGAAAGAGAACTGAAATTTGGGCTACATTTTGCAATAAGGAACTAGAATTATCGGCTCATTTAAGAAACAACGTATGTGCCATTAGTTTCTTTATGCAAATAAGTGCTTTTACGGATAGGTCAGAAATTATGGTACCTCATGCCAGAATGACGTTTATTTAGCGAGGGTTATTAGAAGCATACCTGCGGGTTTATTAGGAAGTATTAATTACCTTTGGATCGATTAGAAATCTGGGATTAGATAGACAAAAGTTAGTTGGCAGTGCAGATAGTGCAAATAATGTCGTCAGGAATAGACCTCTATTTCGAAAAAATGATAATGTAATTACATAAATCTATTCTTGAACGAAACTTATAGTCTCTGTGAAGCTCTTTAAAATGATGGATATCGATGAAGATTATTAGCGTAACTTGAAATGGATATTTATACGTATTAACTGAGAACGACAATATTCAAAAGTAGGGAAAACGTAACATTACAATCTTCCTTTTCATCGCAACGGAATCAGTGGCATGAATTGCGATATATCGATTGTTATGCCGTTTAAACCTACGTAAAAGGATCGATAAACAGGGTGTTCGCAGCGAAAACCTTAATAATCGATTCTTTACCATAGGTTTAGATGGCATAACAATCGATAAATCGCAATTCACGCCACGCCACTGTGAGGTTCGGTATACTCCGTTTTCCGCGAGAGATGAGGATTTTGCATGATACCACTATTTTAACGCCAGTGCGCGCGGCTGGTATCGCGCTCTTATTGAAGGCGCACAATCGTGAGAAGAGAACAAAAGTGAGGGCGGATACAGCTTTAAAGTGAAGTATTCAGCTGCCGTCTTGTTTTCTGCGTTTAATTGTGTGATTCAAATTTGACCCTTTTGATCAAACAATTACTTGTTTGCGATTGAAGTGCAATCAGTGTTCGAAACTCACTTTTGAGTTTCAGGAGCCATGTCGCGCATCAAGCCCGATTTTTAGGCGCCATTGAAGATTTTTTAGGGGCCAAATTGACTTTTTGCCTATATTTTACGCATATTTATTTAGTTAGACGCAAGATGTTTTCGTAACAGAACTAGTAAGTAGCTGTAACTTGGGTAAGACAAAAGCACTAGGAATGAAATTGTGAAGAATAGAAATAGAGTTTTTTTTTTTAATTCAAATAGATTTGTTTTCTTTCTTTATGTGACTTCTTATGAAAATCAAGATTTTTCGGGAGCAATTTTTAGGGGCCACGTTGGCGCAGTACCTTCATTTTTTAGGTGCCATGGCCGATTTTTTAGGCGCATTTGGCGCGTTGGCGCCTGTGAGTTTCGAACACTGAGTGCAATATTAGTATTTTTAAAAAAAACGAATGAAAGAAGATGCGGTAATATTTTTAATTGCAATACATAAGATCTAAATAACGATTTTGTCTCTCAAGTCACCGATTCTTCTCCCTGAGATAACAACGGAAATTTTCGAGTTCAGGTAAAGTGATCGATAATTAAAGTGACAGTATGGGAACACACTCTTAAAGGCGCAAGTGAAACTATGTATAAAAGTCGCGAGGGGTTTTCTTCATAGAGAAGAATGACTCTGCAAGTTATAAGTATATCGGATTATAGCCGATGTCTCATATTATCCAATCATCACTT